CAGCCGCCCACCTCCTGTCTCCCTCCACGCCTTGCAGTGACTGACCCTTTGCCCGCAGTTCCTTGCCTCGGTGGCCCTGATGGTCCTTCTGACGCTCATGACTGCCGTGCTGGATCCTCCTCGGAGACTGCCAGACTTGTTTTCGGTGTTGGTGTGTTTCGTGTCCTGCTTGAACTTCCTCTTCTTCTTGGTGTATTTCAACATTATGATGTGGGACTCCAAGGACGGAAGAAGTCAGAAGAAAATCAACTAGCTCTTTCAGAACGTGGACTTCGGTTCTGTGTAAGTGACCTTCCCCTTTTGGAGGCACGGAGTTCAGGAAAGGAAGCTGGAGCTCATGGCCACCTGCACGGGATTAGAGTGGAGGGCGAAGGAAGCTCGCCTCTGGGTGTTGCTGTGCCATAGCATACTGTGGTTTTATATGAACAGCTATTCAGGTAGTAAAATAAAAGGGAAAAATGTCCTTAATCCCAGTGTTTACTTAAGTATACTGCGTTGGAATGGGATGTAGCTCAGTGGCACTGTGCCTACCTCACAAGCGCAAGGTCCTGAGCTCGATCTCCTGTACCACCAAAAAACAAGCGTGTGTGTATGTGTGTATATATATGTGTTACGCACACAGTTAAAATTGCAAATTTAGTGAACTTATTGGAAGTATCAAGCCTCTTGTCTTTAAAGGAAATCACTGATGTTGGTGTTCAAATTGATTTTCTCAGTTCTGCGTGAAAGTATTGCATCTCGTCATTGAGCAGCTCGGTGCTCCAGCTGGAAGCGTCTGTGACAATCCCGGCTGCCTGGCTCTGGCTCTGCTTGGCCCTTGCTACAAGTGCAGTTTACAGGGCAGATGGTGGTGTTTGCTTCCGAGGATTCAGATCTGCTCGAATCTGTTTTAAAAATGAAATTTCATGGACTTGACATGTTTTAAGCCTGAGCGCCGGCTTCCCAATCACTCGCGCACCTGTCTGCAGGGCCACCTGAACCGGGCCCCTGCTCTGTCTCTTCAGGCCCAGGGTTCGAGGCTCACCGCGTTGGCTCAGCCCGCCTCTGGGGTAATTATTACCACACTGTGTCGTGTTATCAAAATAAAACAGCCGCCTCACGGCTGCATGTTGGAGAACCTGCTTCTTGGAAGGTGCTGTCGGGCCCCAGCTCAGGGAGAGGCTGTCACTGACATTGCTGAGAGGCCCCTTCTGTTGTCATCGGGGAGGGGGACAAGGCGGGGAACACAGGCGCCTTCCCGGGAGCCTGAGGGCAGGCGTGGGTGAGGAGCCGGGAGCGAGAGCCACACCTCCCAGGGGTCCGGCCGGTGGGGACACAAGCCTCATCCAGGGCTCCGCACGTCGCAGTGGCCCAGTAACGCCCTCCCGCACTGCCAGTCACAGGATCGATCGTCCACAGTGCCAAGAGAATCGCCCTGAGGCCCATCAGGCAGACTGCTGTCTAGTACCTATGCTGCATTAACAAGCTAAAAACAACATTGGAGCCTGAAGTTTAAGTGGGAAATGAGTTACCTTCAATTTTTATTTGTTAAATTTTACTTCAGACTTTTGTGGAGTAGTAGTATTTTCATGATACGGTGAATCAAGTGACATGCTGATTTTGTCAAAATTTATGGCAACTACTGAGGGAGCAGCATCCCCCTGCAGAAACTGTGGGGAAAGTAGAGAATTTTTAGCAAACTTTGATGAAGTTATGACAGTCTGTGATTCCCCGACACTTTCGTGAGTGAAAACAGCAACACAGACTACATGATAAGTACTTAAGCTAATGCCACAGTAACGTGGAAGGGACTGGATCATACATTCCCCACAGCGAAGGTCTTGTCTTTAAATTTCTTGGCACCTCTGTAGCATAGCTGAGAAACAATTTTACCTTTTGGCTTTTTGGCGAAATATAAAAGCACTGAAAAATGGATTCTCCTATTTTATAAAAGGTGAAATTTTAAAACTTTGAAAATACTTTTCTCTGAAAGCATAGGAAAGAACTTTAGTATAATAATAGCTCATCACTGACACAGTGGCTACACAAACTTATAAAAGTTTAAAAAAATTAGCCCAGCACAGGGGTGCACACCCTGTAATCCTGGCATTTGGGAGGCTGGGGCAGGAGAGTTCAAGGGCTGCCCGGGCTGCATAGTGAGTTTGAGGCCAGCTTGACCTACACAGCAAAATTGTCTCAAAAAACAAGCAGCTGGGGCTTCCAGTGGGAAAGACTGTACCGAGTTATACTCCCAGAGGTGGAATCTGAGTCCCAGGAAATGGAGACAGCCATCAAAGCACAGCCGTTCTGCACCCGTCCATACGCCACAACTGTGCAAACAGGCGACGCAGAAGGCAGCAGCCCTCCCTTCTTGCTGACTTACATTAAGGGTCAAGAAGAAATGTATTATTTACATTGAGATTATCCACTGGTGTGTGGAGAAAGTTTAAATTAGCTGCAAGAAACCTTATCTAGACCTGCACCTGCCTGTGTTCAGGGCTGGTATTTACTGGGCAGATTAATTACAAACATTTCTTCTGTTCCCTTAAACACGATCAGGCAGATGCAGAAGCCGTGCCCACGAGTACCTTCCTCCTAAGTGCCTGTAGGATATAAAAGATGATTATTACATCACTGTGGATTCGTTTCCAAATTAACAGACATCCCACGCATCGCCGAAGACATGATTTAAATGCCCTTTAGCATGTGGTCCAGCGCAGTGCAGACTGGCGGCCTCTCCTGCTTACTTTGCATCCTCTAAGCGACAGTGCCCTTCATACACAACAGCATGACAAGCACCGTTCGCTTCCTGAGAAGATGCTAAGAAACTTGAGAATCGAATCCTCGGCAAGAAGGACCCTTGGAAACACCACATTTACATGGTTCCACCTCTACGGGCCTCTTAGCAGGTATTTCCTCCAACAGCTGACAAAAACTAAGTAAGAGGCAGGGTTTAGGAGGAGCCCTCCCAGTGAGTCCCCCCCTCCGGTTGCTGGCCTTGGGAGCCTTGGAAGGGGGTTGGGCCTCTCCACCAGCAGCCCCTCCAGCCAAGAGGGTGGCCAGGGTGACAACCCGCTTCCGCCAAACATTGCTGGGTCTTCCGTGCATTTCCGGTGTGGGGCTCCCTGCCAGAGCTCACAGGGCCAGAGCTGTGAGAGCAGAGGAGCACAGTGGCAGATTCCTGTGCTCGAGGCCTCCACCTTGTCACAGAGTGGACTGGAGAGGCCAGTCGGTATCTTGGAAGCACCACTCAAAGGAGCTTCCTAGAGTCCTTGGAAACAAAGCTGTTCCCAGAAGCTCACCGAGACTACTATGCACTCAATGTGTGTGTTCCTCTGCTAAATATGACCTGAAAATGTATTCATGGACACCTCCTGATCCAACAGTTCCCTGTTGGCTTTTCATGGGTCAGAGTTTTAGAAAACATTTACTGCTGCAGTGAAGGAGCATAAGTGTGTGTTGCTCACGGTACCCACTATGTAACTGCAGCTTGGTACCGTGAGGCGTTTCCGGGGCGAGATCGGGAAGTGCTGGGCACCTCTCTCCCCACCGACAGAAGTACAACTCCCTACGCAGCGTCATGTTGTGACGATCACGGATACCTGATGTTTCTGACGAGCTGACATGTCAGACATGCTCCTTATGACTCCTACTGTGTACAACTGAAACAGTCAATGAGTGAAAACGACAATTTTCCCCATGAGATGCTTTGTGATATTTTGCTAAGAATGAACCTCCTGAAATCCATTTCTAAAGAAATGAATTTTCTACATACAGTGTCATTCTCTTGTTTTGCTTTAGTTTTTTTCTAAGAGCAAGCAGGCAGCATCTGGTTGGCGCTGATGCCACCACACCTGGGCAGTGCAGGTTCCCGTGAGCCCCAGGCACTGACACCGCGTGTGCTGCTGCCACTCAGGCTGAGGCAGAAATCAGCTGTATAAACACATCACCTGAGACTGCTAAATCAATAGGAATTGTTTGAAGAAAAGATATAAATAACATATAATTATTTCCTTGACCAATTTAGTAACAGACCTGTGATGTCTTGTTCGGCTGGATGTGTCCTACAGATCCTATGATCAACTCGCTACCACCCATTCCGCTCTTACACCAGAGGTGTTGAATCGAGGGCCTTCTGAATACTTAGTTAAAAACATGCCTCCAACTTCCTCAGTGTGCTTTTCCTGCCAGCCTCTGGTTCACAGTGCTTGTCAGGTTGCTCTGTTCTTTTGTTTACTGAGACAGGATCTGGCTATGTAGCCCAGGCTGGCCTTGAACTCTTGGTGTTCCTCCTGCCTCAGCTTTCCAAGTGCTGAGATTCTAGGCCTGCGCCACCTTACCCAGCTGCTTTGCTGTTCTGGTAAGAGTGTACCAGACCTGATAATGTAGGTAAAACGCTTCCACTTGGATAAAACACAGGACATTTAATATGGTTCAACTGAATAGAAAAGTAAAACAGTACCTTGGTTTAAAATGGCTTTAAGGAATCTGTAGCTGTCAAGATGACATAATTCTGTAAGAAAGAAGAAAAGATATTTTTCAAAAAACACTTCAAAGCAACTTGTCACACTGTATGATGCAGAATAAATGCTGAATCCAACCTAGCTTCTCTGGGTGAACCGTGGACTGTGCTCTTGTCCCCACTCTGCAGCCAGCCTGGCCGAGGGCGGCAGTGCCTGTCCTGTCACTCAGGGTTCACAACTGAGGCGGGAACAGCAATCCCAGCACTGAGGACTCCAGGGTCCTTCTCTGCACACACATCCCCACCCCACCTGCCCCAGTGTGCCTGGGCCTGCAGGATGGGGTCTGCCAGGCAGGGGAGGGAGGCAGAGGTGGGAGGGAACCGGATCAGCTGCTGGCTCCGCAGTGCCCGTCGGCCTGGCCAGGAAACAGCTCACCTTGCTCTGGGCACGGGCTTTTCTGACCATTCTAAGGTGGGAAAATGTTCACCGGTCAGGTGACAGAAAACCAGTCTCTCCGTGTGCCAGCGTAACTCTCAGCCCCTCAAGAACAGCCAGTCTTCTGTCTGTTCATTACTGTCTTTTTATAGTATTTTTATTTAATAAAACCTATTAAGACTACCATACAAATCTCTCTACTTATGCTTTTATCTTTTAACTGATCAATTTTTATATTGCTGACACCCCTTCTTCGCCATTTGCTCATTTAAAAATTCATAGTATGTGAGCTATGTCTCCAGGGAAAATGTCCATAAAATTTGTTACAGCTGGCAAATGTGTATGAGTCAGTGATAGCACATGACTGAATGCTTCACAGAAAATAAAATTTGTTTCTGTAGTAAGCAGAACTGTTTAAATGTTATTTATTTTTATGTTTCAAAGAAAATATATTGTGAAGTGCTGCATTGATTTAATACGCAACAGTGTCTGTGTACACGCTGTGGAAGGAAAATTTATGAAACCTTTGCACAACTCCTTTAATTGAATTTTCCAAATCTCTCACCACACACAAATAATCAATATCTTCTGCAGAGAAAACCAGTCAGAATTATTACCGTCTTTCTTTTCAATTTTGTTGTCATCAGCACATACCCAGCACCTGGATATCTGTAATGTCGCGAGCAAGTTATTTACGTGTCAGCACGTTACTGCTCCTGTGAGTCCAAACATAGTTTTAACATTTTGTACTTATTTTATTCACAAAAAAAATTATCATATTCCTGGCGAAATTATAAAAAATTGAAATCACGGAAGGAACTCTTGAAAAGGCTTTGGAGGATTAAGGAGCCCAGATGCATCCGTGCCCCATGGCGCCAAACCCCACGCGGCACCCTCGCCCTGTCCCCTTGGTCTCCAGAAAAGCAGAAACGTGAGGCCCAGAGCAGAAAGGGAGTCGGGCTCAGGGCCTCCTAAAGTGCAGGCTGAGAAAGACACCATTTAGGGTGTCAGAGAAAAGCAAAAGGCTGGAATGACTTAGCTGACATGATGGGTACTTTTTCAAGACTGAGGAGGGGTACAGGTAACATTTTTGTGTTTAAAACATATTTCGGTGGCAGAATGAGAAGGCAGCATCCACTATTTTATAGTCTAAGGAGAGGTTTAACGCTCATCCTGTAGTCTAAATTTGGTAACTTTAAAATGCTGTAACCAAGATGAATTTTATAGTGTAAAAACACAGTAAGTTAACTGAAACAAGGGAACATTGTAATTAGTTTTTAAAACAAAAGTGCTAGAAATTCTGAAATATTTTCTATTAAAAATAGCTGAAACAATCCACTCTTGAACAAAGTAAAGTTCAGATGGCTATATTTCTTTTAAAATATGCATACTGCAACCTACACAGTTATTCTCAAAACAGATAAAATATGTTTTGGACCGAAGCTAAATGTCTAGATTTCATATCTTACTTGGCAACTGCTCTACAGTTTGCTTACATTCTTTTCAAAAACATTTTGTTTACGGGAAGTACTAGGCATAGATGAACAATGATGGCATTTTAAAGTATCTCCAGAAAAAATGAAAATACCAAGGACTACAGAAAGCTGTGTATTGACCCAGGAATACTTGTACCAAGTTGTTTTAGAGGTTGACTGTGTAAAGCAAATAAACTTCATGCCTCCCATGTGATGACAATGTGACATTCCACACCGCAGCCCACTGAATGGTCATGTGTCTTCAGTCCTCAGCATAACAAATTTAAAATAATTACAAAAATCCACATCCAAATCTCACAGAAAAAGAACCTTTCATTCCATTATTTTCCCAGTGGTCATAAAGCCAGCATTATCAGGCAGACAGAGGTTAGACCTGGGCCCTGAGGAAGTGTCACAAATGCGTCCTGCAGGGGACAGCCTCGTGTGCCCACACTCCGGCAGGTGGGCCCTGTCTAGGTGCACCCTCAGCCTCAAGGAAGCTTCAGGGCTGCAGTGCTATCGTCACTGTGCCCCTCTGCCCATAACAGTGTCTGCAGGTGACACTGAGCGAAGGGAGCTGGCACTGAAATGAAAATAAATAGAACTGAAAGACTATGCTGCCGCTCTCCGGTGTTACCTACTTTGATCATTCCGGGAAAACTAAGAATGTGAAAGAACAGAAAAAGAAGAATCATTAAAGAATCGTTTCGGTCATGAGCATCCAAGGGACACACTTCTGATGGCGAAATAAATCAAGGGCTTCTCATTTTCATAATTACCCACATGAAACAAGCACAGTAATGACTGTACAGCAAGTTAAATTTCATGTGATTCCTAATGTTATGAAGAGTTGTAAAATGTTTAAAAATTTTAACAATTCTTGTTAATAATATAGTAAATGAAAAGTAGAAATATCGATAAAAAGCTGGAAATCCAATTTCAAAATAAGGCAAACTGGTTTGAGATGTCAAAGAACAAAAACAAAAACAAAAACAAGAAATCAAATACCAATAAGCAAAGTACTCTTAGAATGAATAGATAAGGACTGGGGATGTAGCTCAGAGCAAAGTGCCTTCTCACAGGTGTGAGGCTCTAAGTTCGATTCCCAGAACAACAAAAAAAGTAAATGAACAGGAAGGGGTGAAAGTTGTTAGCTTGATACAAAAATTTGTGAGTGTGTATGCGTGTGCTTGTACCTATGTGTTGACATCATCTTTACCAACAACAAACCCTCAACTAAATATGTGTATACGTTAGGAACCAGAGAGAAGTGGGAAAAGCACTTGGTAAAATTAGATAACTCCAACCCAAATTACAAAGAAAATAAGCTTTGATCTATTTTTTTAGACAGCAGTAATTTTCCAAAATATGTTGAAAACCTGATGCAGTTTTGAATATCTCAGAAAATAGAGCTAAGGTAGCTCTTGCCGAGAAACAGAAATGGGAGGTGATTAATATGTATTACAACATGTAATACATAGCAGTACATAATAAAATATGAAAGTACTCTGTAATATATTTTCAAATTCAGTTTTCATTTAAACCATGACAAATGATCAATGCTCATTAGAAATATAAAAACATGATTTAGTCGTACAATTTCCTGTACGAATAAACAAAACTCAGCACTCTGGAAAATGCCGGGATGGACCAGTCCGGCCTACTGACTAGAACAACAGACTGCACTTAGGGCTGATCTTGCCCTCCACAAGTGAGAGCCGAGGTACAAAGCAGGACTGAAAGGAGGGCAATAGCATCCCCTCTCAAGTACCAGCAGTTTTGGAAAGATTTCTTTACATTCATGGATTTGTTCTACAATTTCCTCTTCATCTCTCTAAATTGTTCGTAAATGTCAACTACATGGCACCTAATTCTAGTGAGTTCTAGGAAACTACAGATTTTAAAAATCAAACTATTGGCACAGAACAGAGAGGTGACGTTTCTTTCCACTGGGCAATGAGATGTGAGACCCTCCAGCCCGGCGGCAGGGGTGGGGAGGCAGGTGGCTGACCGAGCAGGCCAGGCCCAGGGAGGAGCAGCAGCTTCTTCCAGAAAGCTCCCTCCTGGGCCCACCAAGTTCTGGCTGCTTCCGTTACAGGCCCCGGGCCCGGCTCACACCCACTTCAGTTGTGTCGCACTGGATTCGGAGCTGCATGACTGGGCCACTTCTATTTCAGGAAGCAGCAGTGTTGGGTCACCCTGACCCTGTGCCCTAAGGAGAAGCGTCTCCGGGCAAGTTGTTTCTCCCCCAGAATGATGTGCAAACAGCTGTCATCCAGCGCTCCCGGAGACACACGCTGACCCTCACACTGGGCACAGGGTCACTACAGGTCCCCGCTAAGCGGAGTCCCGGGACCCTGTGACAGAGACCAAGTCTGCCGGAGAGAGGCTGGCGGCCGTGCCTGTGTCAGCAGCATCCCAACGATCGCCACTGCCTGGCCTCGAAGTATGGCTAGCTTGCGGTCTTTCCAAGGGGAAACTGCCACCTTAGTCCCCCACACTTTGCAATGCCTGCGGCCCGAGCTCACGGCGGACCGACATCCACAATGTCCAGTCTCCAGGACCCTGCTGAGAAAGAAGCTGAGCGCTCTGTGTAGTCTTTTAAAATACACTATAAAGGACTTAACAGAGACTGGTTTTATCTGGTGACAGGAAGAAAAAACACCTCTTTATGTAGTAAAGTTCAATTCCTTACCTTTATGAGGAAGTCCTGAGTTTTTCTTTTCAAAAAGTTTTTGTTTTGTTACTTTTGCCACTACAGGAAAAAAAAAAAACAACAACACCAAACTCATGTTAAGAATTAACATGCATATGAATAATTTCTCAGAATAATTTCATGAGAAAAAATTATTCAAAGTAATACATATCTATGGGTATCATATATAAAGTACAATGGTTTCTTAACTATTGTTAATAACTATCGTTATTGTATTTTTTTTTTTTTTTTTTTTTTT